AGAATTTTTTTGCACAGAATCCTAGAGATTATATTCTCATTAACAACATCTAACTCCCATTTGCTTGATTGTGCATTATGTGCCAAGCACTGTGCTGACTGACATCTTTGTTTTTCTGTTTAATTTATGTTGACATTATTTCATACCAGAAAAATTCCAAGAGTGGTATAGAGAGTTCACCCAAATACCCCAAATGTTAACATTTTACTACATTCCCTTTCTTATTTCTCTCTTGTGAGAGTAAAATGTAGACCTTACTCCCTTTTATACCTAAATAGTTAAGTGTGCACTTTCTAAAAAACAAGGACATTCTTTTATATAAGCCACAGTATAGTTGTCAAAAATCAGGAAATTAACATTGATTTAATGTTAATTATGTAACCTACAGACTTATTCAGATTTTACCCATTGGCCCATTGTACTTTATAGCAAAAGAAAATTCCAGGTCATGAGAGTGCATTTAGTTGTCATATCTCTAGTTCCTTTAATCTGGTGCAGTTTCTGTTTTTTTCATGACATTGACTTTTTTTTTTTTTTTTTTTTTGGAGATAGCGTCTTACTGTTGCCCAGGCTGGAATGCAGTGGTGTGATCATGGCTCCCTGTAGCCTTGAACTCCCGGACTCAAGCAATCCTCCTGCCTTAGCCTCCTGAGTAGCTGGCACTACAGGTGCCCACCACCACACCTGGTTAATTTTTTATTTTTTGTAGAGACAGATTCTCCCTGTGTTGCCCAGGCTGGTCTTGAACTCCTGGGCTCAAGTGATCCTCTTGCCTGGGCCTTCCAAAAAGTGTTGGGATTACAAGTGTGAGCCACTGCATCCAGCCGACATTGATATTTCTGAAGAGTGCAAGACAGTTATTTTGTAGAACATGTACAGTTTGGGTTCATCTGATGTTTTCTCATGATTGGATTAAGGTTATTCATTTTTGGCAGGAGTACCACAAAGTATCGTTATGCTTTTGCATTGTATCAGGAGGCACAAGATGTTCAAATACTGGTAATATGATTTTGGATCACTTGATTGTTACTGTTTTTCCTTTTGTAATTTTTTTGTGGTAAAATACACATCATTTATTTTTATGTTTTGACAATTTTTAAGTGTATAGCTTAGTGGCATTATATTCTCTTTGTAATTCACATTCACAGTACCTTTAAATAATTTTAAAGTATTTTGTGAAAAAATACATACTTGGTAAATATCTTGTCACTATTTGAACTTTCACTCACTAATTTTAGTATCCATTTGTTGTAAACATCTTGTTACTCCTTGAACTTTTGCTCACTAATTTTAGTATCCGTTGGTGATTTCTGCCTAATTTTCATAATGGTTCTTGAGTGGTGATATTCTAATTCCATTATTCCTTCTACGCTTATTTATAATAGTACTTTATTTTGACACTGTCCCTGACGTGGCCAGTGGGAGCCCCTTCAGTTCTTTTGACACACCCTGTCATTCTTGGAGCACGTATTCTAGGCTCATCTTGCATTTTCCCAGCCCCAGCCTTGGAATAAGGAATTTCTTCTCGAAGCCCTGATTCCTTTTAATAATGACTTTAAAAGCCACAGTCTGGACTCTAGATGTCCTGGTTGCGATTGTTATTGCTTCTAGGCCTTCTCAGCTGACATCTAGGAAACAGGTATGTGTGAGAGGAGAGAGTGTGTGTGTTTGTGTGTATGTGTGCACACACTAGTGTATCTTTATTAAAAGCAGTGAGTTTATACAGGTACCTCAGATTCTGACCCAACACTACAGGGTTTATTCTGTCCTTTCCTCTTTCCATATTTGTAACTCTGATTTCCAACAATGAGAAATTACTCATATTTTTGCTTATTGGTTCAATTCTAAAATATAAGAAAATAGTTTAAGAATTATTAACTCATACCACCATTTAAAAGACACCTCGTAAGTAGAATTCAATGTTTGTTTATAGTGTTTTTCCTTTAGCCTAGGGACATGTAGTCTAAATCTGTACTGTGTAATAATACGGTAGCTACTAGCCACATGAATAGAGACGTGTTACAAGTATAAAATGTACATTGGATTTGAAAACTTACTACAAAATAAATATGAAATATCTCACTGGTATTTTAATAATAGTTTATGTTGATTATGTGTTGAAATATTTTAAGTGTATTAGATAAAATATATTAATAAAATTAATTTCACTTTGATGTGACTACTAGAAAATGTTAAATTACGTATGTGGCTCCGTTATATTTCTATTAGAATGTGCTGATATAAAAACCATGTTCAAAAGTTACTTGGATTAATTTTCCTTCTCTAACATTCTTTCCCTCCTCCCTGGGGTTATGTTATTCATTTGAAATACAGTGTACTTCGTTTATTTCTATTTGTATTCTGTCTTTTTCACTTGATCCTAATTGATCTTATTTATTCTTCAGTATGTGAAACATCAGCATGTTTCCAAAAGTCAGAACTCTACAAAGATGTTTATACTCAGGGCACTGTCACCCGTTCCTTCTGTCCTTCTCTAACCTGTCCTCTGCAGGTTACCAGTCTAATGATTCCCCCAGTTATCCTTCATGCATTTTTTGCCCCTCAGGATTGAGGATATAGATGCACATTTTCTTATTTTTCTTTCATTCTTACACAAAAGGTAGCATACTATAAATACTCTTTTGTACTCTTATGCTCTTTCTAATATTTTGAATTTACAAAAAGTACTGCAACCTTGTCCATATATATTTTGGTATGTTGGAGGTGTATTTTGGAGTAAATTTTCAAAATGGAATGGTTGGGCCAGAAGTTAAAAGCATATGTAGTTTTCTTAAATATTGCTAAATCCCTTTCTGCAGAGGTTGTATGAATTTGAATTCCCATCAGCAGTGTTTAAGAGGGTTAGTTTCCCCACAACCTCATCATCAGAGTGTGTTGGCATGCTTTTTAATTTTTGCTAACTTGATAGGTAAGAAATAGTATCTCAGTATAGTTTTAATGTTTGTTTCTCTTGTTATCAGTGAAGTTGAACATCTTTTTATATGTTTAAGGGTCATTTTTTATCTTTTTGTTTGAAATATATATCTTCATTTTTCCATCAGGTTTTTGGTCCCCTCCCCTTTCTCAATTGTTGGGAGTTTTTCAATATGAGGAATATTAGCTCTTTACTAGTGATGTATGTTACAAATATTTTCTCCCAGTTTGTAGTGTTTGTGCGTGGGTATGAATGTTTAGACCTTTATGTAGTCCAGTTTTTGAGTTTTTTGTTTTATCTGAATTTTGGATTAAAATTAGAGGCTTTCCTTGGACCTACGGTAAATAATTCACCTATGTTTTCTTCTAGTACTTCTGTGGTTTTAGTTGTTAATTTGGATCTTTGATCCATTTGGAGGTATGGTTTCTTTAAAAATGAATAAAAAGACCAATTTTGCGCCAGTGTTCTTTGATATGCTACCTTTATCATATACGAAATTTCTGTTTGGTTTATTTCTGGACTTTCTATTTTCTATACCATTATCACACTTTCAGTTATAAAGGCTTGATAGTATATCAAGGGCTAGCTTTTTAAATTTTTAGTGTTTTCCTGACTACTCTTGCATGTTTATTTTTCTGTTGAACTTTAGTATCAGCTTGTCTGTCTCAATAAAAAAGCTTGCAGGTTATTTTATTGGGGTTATGTTAAATTTATAAGTTAACATATGGAAAACTGACTTTTTAATGCTGTTGTTTCGTGCTGAGATTTCTGTCCAAGAACAAAGAATATCTTTCCATTTGTTCAGATCTACTTTTGTATCTTTCAGGAACGTTTTAAAGTTTTCCTTACATTTAACTCCTTGATAAATTCTCCACTTTTTTTTCAGCTCAATAATATATCTTATAGATCTTTCTTTTGTATATCTACATAGTTTTCTACAGTGTGGATGCACCATAATTTATTTAACCTGGCTGATATGGGTGGACATTAAAGTTGTTTAAAATTTTTCACTATTGCAAACAGTTCTGGAATAAGTAAGTATCCTTGTAGAAGTCTAGTTACTTCCTTATGATAAATTTATCAGAGGAGAATTGCCTCGTCAAAGGTCTTTTGACACATAAAAGTTTCTGAAACATATTGTTAACAGCTTTCCATATTAATAAAATGTATACCTCCACTAACACTGTGTTTGAGCCCTATTCTGTTGACATTCAGCAAAACAGAACCTTATTGCTCTTTTTTAATATTTGCCAGTTTGATAGCAAAACAAAGTATGTTTATATTGCATTTCTTTGCTAACTGATGAGTTTTATTTTTGTCCATCTACCATTCAGCTGGCCAGCATATACTCGTTGAGTATCCACCATGTTCCATAAGCTATCCCATGTATTAAAACTGTAATAATGACTAGAAGTTGAACATCTGTTTGTATCTCTCTGTGTGTGTGTGTTTGAGATAGGATCTCGTTCTGTCACCCAGGTTGGAGTGCAGTGGTGCCATCACAGCTCACTGCAGCCTTGACCTGCTGGGCTCAAGCCATGTTCCCACCTCAGCCTCTTGAGTAGCTGGGAGTACAGGTGCATGCTACCATGCTTGGCTGATTTTTATATTTTTTGTAGAGATGGAGTTTTGCCATGTTGTCAAGGCTAGTGTCGAAATCCTGAGCTCAAGTGGTCTGCCTGCCTTGGCGTCCCACAGTGCTGGGATTATAGTCATGAGCCACCATGCCTGGTGTCTTTTTGTGATTTTTATTATTATTAGTTTTAGTGGCTTTTTGTGATTTTTATTATTTTGTGTCTTATGTCTTTTTTTTTGGTGACAGTTAGTAGACTTTCCTGTCCTCAGGTCTGAGACTGACAGAAGATGGCATTTCCTTATTCTGTTTGGTTGATGAGCTTCTAAAAAGTGCTTTTGTATGTGTGTCTTCATTGCACATTCTGTGGCACATCACTGTGTTAAATGCAGACTTACAAAATGAGTTAATGAAAGTTAAGTGGCTAGACAGGTGTCAAAGAAATAACTGTATATTTTTATAAAAATAACTTTTATTATTACTGTTTTTCAGGTGAGGCTGCTGTCTGTCAGAAAGGAACTTTTATACAGTTTGCCTTCAGAGACAGTCTATCTGCATGTTGTAGAGTTTTATTATTAAGAAAATAAATGTTACTTACATGGTAAGTTGCCTTTACTTATGCATATTTTATAGAAATACTGTCTGTTTACTCTAAAGATTTGTTTGCTTGTATTTTGTTTCTTCAGTGTCATTTTATTTTGTAACTGCCATGTCAAACAAGTTTGAAAATGGCAGTTTCCTGAAAGGTGTAGGGTCTTTTGAAGATTTTCTTCTGTTTACTATCTATCTTAATTTTGTTGTTTGTAGTAGAGAGGAGAACAAGGGCTGTTTAAATATTGGGATTAGTTTTCAAAGTTGGATCACTAGCTTTGGTCTGTCTCTTTCCACTGTAACAGCTGAGAATTAACATCCTTCTTGTCAAGCCCTGGCTTCACTATAATTCATATAGTGAGCAGCAAAGATGCAGTGTTATTTTAAGGGTTTGATTAACTGATTCAGGAAGAATAGGTGGTCATTTAAATAGTAAAGTATAAAACAGAATGAATAATGTTATTAAATAACTTAGAAATGAAAAAAGATAACTGATTTTAATTTTTAAATATTACCCTATAGGTATTTGTTGTCAGTTAAAAATTTTTTTTTCAAGGAAAATTTAGTAAGTTGATATGACCTGCTGTTTTGTGAGAGGTTTTCTTACTCACATCCTCTGATGATCTTTTGAGTATATTCCAACTTCTGACTCTCCTGTATGGCCAGTGACAATGGGCCAGCCGATGCGTAGAGTGATAGCTTTAGTGGTAACCAGAGGGTTGGTCACAGCAACTGTCAGAAGATAAATATACTCATGTGCTGCTGACGCACGTTGCAAAAATTGGATGGAAAGTATGACATGATACTGGTGATTTGCTGAATTTTCTCTCAAATAGTTTTGTGCAGCTAAACACAGTGAGAAATACATGTTGATGTTGAGAGCTGAGTTCAAACAAAGTAGTCTCAAATAGAATCCAGGGATGAGGAGCTATAGGCACTGAAAAAAGAGAGGAACAATATTATCCTTAGATTTGTTTTTTCTTAGTCTTTTTGCTTTTGTTAGCGTCAGAAAACTGTCTTAGGTATTTCTGGATGTTTTGCATGGCTCATGTGAGTAGAAACATAGGATTTCATTGTACATGACTGAAAAGGCCTGCATCTCAGAGCAAATCAAAGTGAGTTTTAATCTTGGTTATTTGAAATCTCCTTGTACCTGTCTTATTAGGAGTATTTTTTTTTTTTTTTAAGAAGGAACTAATTTGCAGCTGGCTATAAAGAGTGACATTGTGTCTGGGAAAATGCTGTACTAACACACTGTGCTGTCCCACAAGAGTACTTCTCAAGTCCCCAAACGCTGTGCTGACAATCTGTGACAGCCTGTGAATTGTTGGGCAGCAGCTGGGGAAGATGGACAGCAGGGTGAGGTGGTTGTGTGTAAGTTAGAGGAGGTGGGGAGGGGAAGAAGTGAGAGAAGAGCAGAGCAGCTTCTAAGTTTTGTGGGCAATTTGAATGAAAGGTGTTTTAGTTGTTGTGTTCTGCTAATACGGCTGTGAAATAAACAGCTAGAGAGTGGGGTGGAAATAGTGTATTTCACCTTTCCTTTCAAGGTATTATTGATTCTGTCATCAAAACTGTAAGGTTGCCTGGGCATGGCAGCTCACCCCCGTAATCCCAGCACTTTGGGAGGCCCAGGTGGGCAGATCACTTGAGTTCAGGAGTTCGAGACCAGCCTGGCCAGCACAGGGAAACCCCATCTCTACTATAAATATAAAAAATTAGCTGGGCATGGTGGTGTACGCCTGTAATCCCAGCTATTCTGGAGGCTGAGGCGTGAAAATTGTTTGAGCCAGGCAGGCGGAAGTTGCAGTGAGCTGAGATTGCGCCAGTGCACTTCCAGCCTGGGTGACCGAATGAGACTCTGTCTCAAAAAATCAAATAACAAAAAACCCTGTAAGGTTCTGTGTTGTATTGATGAGAGTGTGGGTTGGATGGAATTAAAACTTTTGAGGAGACTAGAAATATCACATCATACCAGGAAATGAAACTATAAAGGTAAGGGTAATGGGAATAGGGCTTATCTTTTCCAGGAATTATTATAGTAGTAGTAAGGCCAGTTACCATATCTAGATCCACAATGGCTAGGCCTTTATCTCAGACAGATGTACAGCTTGTTATTTATTTATTTATTTGATTGATTTGATACATATACTATCAGCTGTTACTGTTTCTATAGCAAGCATTGTCAGACATCAAAGACAGAAATTTCTGGATATTATTTGGATTGTGGAGTAGAATTTAATGTGGGCAAGTTATGGTTCAGTTCTTTCTTTCTATATACAAAGTAAATAGCTTTGCTACAATGAACCTTTGGCTGTAGCCAGACTAATATTGGGGACTGAATGTTTGTGTTCCCCCTAAACTCATATGTTGAAATCTAGTCCCCAGTGTCATGGTGTTGGAGATGGGGCCTTCAGGGTGTAATTTAGTCATGAAAGTGGAGCCCTCATGAGTGAGATGACTTCCCTTATAGGAAGAAGTCAGGGACCAGGTGCTGTGGCTCACGCCTGTAATCCCAGCACTTTGGGAGGCCAAGGCAGGTGGCTCACCTGAGGTCAGGAGTTCGAAACCAGCCTGACCAGCATGGTGAAACCCCATCTCTATTACATACAAAAAATTAGCCGGCATGGTGGCACATGCCTGTAATCCCAGCTGCTTCAGAAGCTGAGGCAGGAGAATCACTTAAACCTGGAGGTAGAGCTAAGATTGCACCATTGCATTCCAGTCTGGGCAACAACAGCGAAAACTCTGTCTCAAAAAACAAACAAACAAACAAGCAAACCAAGAGGAAGCCAGAGAGCTAGCTTGCTCTGTTTCTGCTATATGAGAATACAATGGGAAATCAACCTACTACAACCTGGAAGAGGGCCTGCTCCAGAACCAGGCCATGCTGGCACCCTGATCTTGAACTTCTAGCTATTAGAATTGTGAAAAATTTTTGTTGTTTTTAAGCCACCCGGTCTATGGTACTTTGTTATAGCAGCCTGAACTAAGACAACCAGTTTCTATGAGTCTCCAAAATAACACTTTCCGACTTTTTGCCTCTTCACATGTTGAGTGTGTTCTTTCCACTTGTAATGTCTCCCCTCAGTTCTGTGTCTGAATATCTGCTTCTAAAGGCCTAGCCTCAGTTCCACCCACTTTATGACATTTTCCTCACCCATTCCAAGCCCTTAGTGATATTTTTCTCCTCTGGTTTCTATCATTTACTTTTATTTGGCAGTTAGAGACATATAGTCCCTTAAAACAACATGAAAACAATCTTTCCAATTAGGTAGAGAGACATCTTAAGGGGAAGCTTCATTTTTACTCTCTCGGCTCACTGCAACCTCTGCCTCCTGGGTTCAAG